TCATATTCTAATAAAGTTGTTTATATATATTACTTGTAATTTATTATAATCAAAAAGTTTAAATTTAAATTATAAACAACTTTTTGTTTTTGTAATTATATTCAACAAATTATTTTAAATTTTTTTATCTATTCCATCACTTTAAAGAGATATTTGAATACTTTGATTAAAGGAAATCGATTTGAGACTTCTAAGTAAAGTTATTCAACAGGTTTAAAAATATATACATATAAATTTTATTATAATTAGATTAATAGTTGTAGAATTATGAATATATTTCGTAATTATATTATCTTATAAAAATTTTTTTATTTGTATTTTAACTTCAATGAGATATTTAAGCATTTTAGTCAAAGGAAATCAACTTTAGATATCTAATTAAAGTTGTTTAATGGGTTCGAAAATATGTGAATATAAATTTTTATTATTATTGAATTAATAGTTGTTAGTTATGAATATTTGTTTGTAATTGTATTATCTTATAAACTTTTTTAATTTTTTTATTTATTTAGTAACTTCAAATAGCAATTTATACATTTTAGTCAAGAAAATTAACTTTAGAAGTTTAAGTAATGTTTAGCTAGGTTCGTAAATATATAAATAAAAATTTTTAAATAATTGGATTAATGGTTATAGAGTTATGAATGATTTTTGTAATTGTATTATCTCATAAAATGTTTGTTATTTTATTTATCTATTCAGTAACTTCAAAAGTAACCTTTAATACAAATCAGTATCAATTACTTGATTTTCTAATACATATTAAAGCTAAATCATATTTTATTTCATGTGATTAATAATGCTGTTTAAAACCTATTTTAATGTGTAACTTAAAAATTTAAAAACTATTTCAAAACCTTTAAATGATTTTTTTTTAAATCTAACTTGATAAAACTTAATTAAGTTTAGAAAAACCTATTAGAAATTTAAGTAAAGATATTTATTATAAACAAATAGTTTTATCTTAAATATCTCAAAACTCAAATTTTCTAAAAATAATTTAGGAAGGTACATTTACACATAATCAATAATATCATCTACGTTCTTATGCTTTTATTAATTTTGCTAATATGAATAACTTAGACTCTACTACTATCTAAACACAAAAATTCAAAGGGAAAGTTTTAAGCATTTTAATCAAAAGAAATCAATTTTAGAAGCTTAAGTAAAATTATTTAGCAAGTTTAAAAATATATGAATATAAATTTTTATTATATTATAAAGTTATAACTATTTTTCATAATTGTATTAACAGTCACCTGACTTGTAGAGTAATTTTTTTTTAAAAAAAAAATTTTATTAAAAAAATAAAATGTAAAAATATTAATAAATTTTTTATTTATTTTAATTATAATTATTTTTATTTAAAATAAATACTTTTTAATATAATTAAAATAGAAAATATTGCTATTAGTCATAAAATTAGATATATAAATAGAAATTTTTTTTTTTAAAAAAATAAATTTATATTTAATGTTAATTTCAAAGAAAAATATCACACAAACTAAGATTTTTAAAAAGCAATTTAGCTTTTTTTAGGTTAGATATTTTAAACTTTCAATTTTATATATTGTATTTTTACTAATTTTAAAAAAAATAATACAAAAAAATATTAATGAGATTCATTTTTCTTAAAATTTTATAGAATTAATAATTTATATCAATAAAAAAAATTAATTTAAAGTTAAAAAAATCCTATATTAAAAATTTATAATTATATTTTCTTTTATCTTATTTTACATTTTAAAATACTATATAAATAATTGTAAGTAAGTAGTTAATACAATATATTTTGGATGAAGAATATATTCATCTGCTTTTTTTTTATTATTAGAATGATTATGTTTTTCGATTTTCTGTAAATGAGTTCATAATCAATTTCTAATATTTATTAGTATAAAATTCTTCTTCATTAATCAAGTCTTCATAATCTTTTATAAATTATTTTAATTTAATAAAGATAATTTAAGTTTTCTAAGTATAATAATATCATCACTATTAATCAGATAATATAAACTTTTTATTACTGATTCTTTTTCTATTATAATATAAATGTATAATTGAAATTTTAATAAATTAAATAATATTATTTGTAAAATTACAAAATAGTTTGATAAAAAACTCGCTTAACCTGACTCATTCGATATTGTACTCTAATTAAAATTGCTGATTATTTATAATCATATGATGCATATTCTCTTATTCTTAAGAAAATCATTTTATAATTAAATTTCAGATTATTTTTCTTATATCACAAAATCGTTTCCTTCTCTATTTAATTCTATTTAATAACTGTTAGAAGTTTTTTAAGATTTACGTTTTGCTCATCCATCAAATAGAATTAATTTCTTATTACTGATCATTTAAGAAAAATTATCTTCTTCTTTGGTTGATGAACTTATTAATGCCAAAGAAGTTTTGATGTATATAATTTCTAATATGAAACATGCAAAAAAAATCCTCATAACTTATCTTACAATCTAAGCATAGTATTTTTTTAAATGTGAAAACTATGAATATAATTTACTCTTATTAATAGATATAAGTTGATAGATTTTTAAATCAGTTTTAATATTCTCTTTTTTTTCTTGATAATTTTAGTAATTATTAGGCTAGTTTCTTTGCATTTAAAAAAGAAAATAAAGATGATAGGTTTATTTAGATAGATAGTTTTGTTTTTATATTTTTATTATCAAGAAATAATTAATATTTAGTATAAATTTTTAGGTAATTATTATTTGTTAGTTTGTATTATTTGTAATTTCTTTTTATTTTTTTTAGAAATATCTTTTTATATTAATAAAATAATTGACAAAGATACATTTAAAAAAAATAATATTTATTTATCTAATTTATAAATTTTAAAATAATTATAAACTATAGAAATTATATATCAATCCTTTTCTAATACTTACTTTTTTTAATTAAATAATTAATCTAATACAATTTTATAGAAACTTTAGTTTACTTAATATGTAGTAACTATATGTTGAATATATGAGTATTGTGCTATGTCTTGTACCTCAATTTTAATAGCATACTAGGGTTGGGAAGTACAGTGTTAGTATAATGATTAGTACAGTTAGTACATTATAATAATTAATATTAAAATTAGTACAAGTATAGTACAAGTATAGTGATAATTTTATTTAGTACATACAAAATTCCCAACCCTGACCATAGATGTGACGTTTAGGATTTTCCATAACAAAAAAAAAATTTTCTCTGCTCTGTTCCCAAGAATACTTAGTAAAAATGAGAATCTTTACAGATATGCACTCAATTTTTGATTCTGATCACATGCCGCGATTTTAATTGGTAGCGTGTCGGGAAACCAAGTTTGAGATATATTGTAACCTATATTTATTTGTTAGATTTTGTATAATAAAGGATCGTAATATATAACCCATAAAAGGGAGAAATTTTTTCATCTATATATAATAAGATTTTTTATTAAATTTCTAAACTCTTGTATTCTTACAGTAATTACATTATTTATTTAATTTCTTAAAATAAATTAGCTGATTACGAATCGACGCGCTAATCTAAAAAATATATAGTTAAAAGAAAATCGTTCTATATGCTCTTCCAATTTTAATAAAGAAAACAAAGAAAAAAAGAAAAACTTCATTTCTCGTCATCATTATCATCATTTAATCACCCTTCCAATTTTTTTAAAAAATACAAATAAGAAAAAAAAAAAGAAGAGAACATATTGTCTCATCCGTCTTTCCAATTTTTTGAAACCATCTAAAAAAAAAGCAAAAAAAAAAAAAAAATAACAATAATAAAAGGAAAACAAATCTATTTATAATTGTCGTCATGATCAATCGCCTCAATTGTTAAATAAAACCAGATCTAAAAATGGATATAATGCAAATGCATATATACAAGTTCTCACAAAAACACTAATATGAACCACAACATACCCATCATGTTAACACCACAAATCTTCCTTAATTAAAAAATAATCTTCTTGCTTATGTTGAATTTCTACCAAAATTTCTTTAAGCAGAATATGTATATGAATTTACTGTTTCTATTTTTGTCTACTAAAGGGGAACGAATAATATTAAACAAATTTATTAATTAAGAAAAGTTAAAAAAATATTCCAACTTACTACCAAATATTCCCTTATTTTAATAAATCTATTTTTTTTTTCGCTTGCCAACTGTAATTCCGCTTCTTGACAGTTCATTTCTTCTCTAGACAAAAGTTTGTTTCTCATATTATCTCTACGAACTAGGTACATTAGTTCTCAATCCTCGAATATATTTGATCATCGGCTATTTTAGCTAGGTTTAAAAATTAAAAAATAAAAGAGATAAGGCCATAAACCACGCGAATTAATATGTATAATTAAAAAATATGATTATGCCATTTCCGTCTGGCAGTATTGTATTACCTTTGCCATCTGTGTGTCATGGATCTTATTATCCAAAAGCGCTAACTTGATATATCTCCTATATGGATCTATATCTATCTAAACATCCTTCCTAATGAAAGTTACCTCTCTAGACGTAAGAATCAGCCCATCCATCAGCTATAACTAATTTTACCAATACCACATAAAAAAACTCATGACTTGTTTGTTGACAACGAACAATTAAACATTATGTATACTTCATCAGTGATTATAACATGGTAAGCAAAAGGAAATGATAAATAATCAAATACGAAACAGAACTCTGTATCTGTTGTCCCATAACATTTGTATTGGATGCAAGTGAAAACGATAACGGTCACGCTTGTTTAAATATCAGAAAACATTTCGAAGTGAAATTATGGGAATGTTAATATTAATAGATAGCAATGACATAAATCAAAGACAAATAAAAAAAAAATGTTCTACCAGGTTGATGGATGAATTATTGTGTATTCATCTTCAGCCATCCAAGTAGCCAATTTCCGGAAATGCCATATTTTCACAAATAATTTGAGCAACCGGGGCTTCTCCGTTAGTACATTTATGATACTTATGAAGCTCGGATGACATTAAATGACAGAGGTCGATGACAAGGAATTGGATTCAGAAACGAAAACTAATGGGGTAAAGACTAAGATGATAAGAAAACTAAACACCATCAGAAAATTAATTAATAAATAAATCAGATAGAATTTCAAAACTTACTATCACGTTAAATTAGATCATAAGCAAATTTTTCCTTATCAGCAAGTCAAATTCTTTGTACATTACATGGCTGGTAATGTTTTTGTGAAAAATGATGCCTATGATAAAAGAGCATTAATACATTATAATGAAGATAAAGGGGAATATAAAAATATAAATTTAATTTTACCATTCGAATTTCGAAAACTTAACATTCCATCATCTGTTCCAATGGTTGCAGCATCTATTGCGGCGGCACAATCTCAAATGGAATCTAACACATCGCCACTACAGCTAATTTCAATTCTCTTAACATCCATTGTCCAAAAATTAGAAATTTCTCAACTAATATATGTACTGTATGAAGTCCTGCGGTACTTTCATGTTGTACAGCAATCAATAGGTAATATTTTGATGATTCGGTGGATAAGCGGGATCCCACCATCACTTCTGATTGGGACTTGAAAAATTTCTTTATCAAGAAAATTACATTTGAATTTAATTTTCAATAGAGCTATAACTTTACATCAATTGAATTTTTCCATAGCACTTTGTAATAAGATAACTGACCTACGGTTTCTGAAACGCTGATAAAACATCTAAATATGGAGCTGAGAGGAAACATTTCTAATACGACTACAGATTTTGAATATCGGCAATAAATGTTGAACCAATATACAGTATCTTATTTTGAATAAACCAATTTTCGTATTTTCAGCTCCAGATTCTACTACGGTGATAATAATTGAATTTGATTTTATCGTCAAAGGAATCAGATCTAATTTATTATCTATTTGAATGTCTTTAAATTAGAATTCTGCTGTTTTCCATGGTTACTATGGAAAAAGAATACCTTTTTGTTTTAATTTTCTGTTAAAACAGGGGGATATTTTGTTTCTCCAATATATTCTGGTAATAATAAGAAGAATCAGTTGATGAGAAGGTTCCGATATAAGATCTATTAAGAAGAGTATTGCGACACTTAATCACTTTTTTAAATATCTGATTCTACGAATAACGCTATTAATTTCAAGATTTTAGTCTTTACCAAATTCCAGCAATCGAGATGATCAATAGAATTATATCTAGTAATTCACGAAGAGTACTTGATGCAATAAAGCAAAATCAATTGATCTTAAAGCTATAATAATCGCCAATTGACTTTTTAACATGAAGAAATTCTTCCACTATTTATATAAAGCTAGAATATATAAAGCTCTGAAATAAAAGAAATATGCCAATAAACTAAAACAAATTATGAAAAAATTATATTTATTTCATTACCTTCATATTCCAACCGTAAATACCAATATATCGCCTGCTGGATGTCAAGCATTCCCACCACTTGCTTAGCAGAACGATTAGCATAATCTTCACAAGGGTCTTACTGACTATAATGTACAAACAATTATTGTGAAGGTAATTTTTGAATCATTTGAATTACAACTTTAGCTAACGGAAAATACTAAACACGTGGGTGCTGGCCAAAAAATCACGTGAAGTGAACTTTAAAAATCGAAAATAATCAGAAACACGAGTCATATTGCGTAACTGCATATAACAATGGAATATACAAGTGATGTTGCGACTGTTGTAATAATATTTATTGGTATTGAACGCGTAGAAAAAAAATATAATCAAATTGAAATGCAATTTTGCAACATGCCGTTCCAATTCCGCTCTAATAATCTTTTGTAAAAAAAAAATTTAGATACAGATGAACGAACAACTTAAATGCGGCCAATGAAATTATCTCGAATTTATATTTCTCATAGGACAAATGCAAAGTTTAAATTATCATTTTTTTATTTTAAAATTAAAAAAAAACATAAAATTAAAAATAAATAAAAAAAAAATTTAAAAAAAAATTTAAAAAAATTTTTTTTTTTTAATAAAAATCATTTTTTTTTTGATTTTTTTTTTTGATTTTTTTTTCGCCCTATTAAATAAATTTAAATCATCTTGAGTAAAGATAATTCCTTTCACGAATGGTTAAAGAACTAGAAAAAAATTTTTATTTTTACCTTTCTTTTTTTTCTTTTTAATTGGTTCAGTATTTTTGGGCTTCCTTCCCCTCTTGGCCGGTGGATTCGATGCCGGGGAAGGTTCGTGATTCTGCACGTCGCATTTTGTTCTTAAATTACGACATAAAACGCAAGCCATTTTGGCGTTTGTTCTTTTGGTCCTCATCATCTTGAGGAATTTATGCCGTTTTAGAATAAAGTTGTTGAGTTCAGGGATAATATTTATATGAAAAAAAGATACCGCAGTGTAATTTTAACGCACGAATAATTGATTAAAATTGTGGATCGGAACCCAACGTCAAAGGGTTCATTTAAACTATTGATTTCTCCTTTTTTAAAAATTGATTTGGAAATTTGTTGCAAAATTGGAAGTATATGACACGCAACATTTCCATTTTTTTTTAAAAAAAAGGGCCAACAGATGTGTTAAAAAAAAAAGATCATGGTGCGCGCCAAATGTTGTTGTAATTTGTTATTCATCCCAATTTTTTTTAAATAAATAAAATATACACCAACAGATGGTGACTCGGAGAAAGATTCATCATAAACAAAAGATTTCATTGCAAACTTTCCATTTTTTAAAAAGGAGATTCATGATTTCATGGTGCGCAATTATTCACACATCCCAATTTTTTTAAAAAAATATATACGCCGAACAATTTATTTTCTTTGTTTATTTCAATATTTATTAATTTACAGTATACATTTTCATAATAACATTGCATTAATAAATATATACAAAAAAAAGTTGGACAAAAAAGAAAAACAGGGTGTAAATTTAGGTTTTAACATCAATCTGATTTATTGGTTTAGGAATTGGTCATGAGTAAAACTTTCATTCCATGTCAGTTTGTAATATACCCTTTTATAGCAGTATTATTGTGAAGCCCCTTATCAATATAAAAAAAAAAAATTTTAAATTTCATGAATTTCCGTAAATAAAAAATAGAAGTTTTGAGAAAGAATTTCACCTGTATAACACAAATTATTACACTAATTAACTAATTTTAATTATTAGAAAGTAATAATAACTTTCCAATAAAAAAGGCTGGAATTGTTTATCTCACAACAGCAATAAGTATGCTTTTAGCTTTGAATTATTTCGCGTTAAATCCTTTGAAATTCATTCCAAAAAAGGAAACTTTACGTTGGACATATTTTTTTTTAATAATTAGCGAGTTGATTAATCATTATTAAACGAGTCGAGTTCGATAAAAAAGGATAAAACAAGAACCAATTTAATATATATTTATAATATATTCTCATGGGACAATTTTATACATTAAAAATTTTTCTCTGTTTGTTATCCAACTAAATTTATCATGATATCGCTCAGCCATTCGATTTTCAGTCTATTTTTACTAAAACCGATATAAAAATTCTTATGACCGCTCTATTCCGGAAATGTACCATAAAAAATACATTTAAACTTATTTATCGAATTTTGTGTTCAATTTTAAATGTGAGCTAAACTTATTTCGTAAGTTGATTTGGTAAAGTCTTCATGTGATGATTTTATTACTTTACTTTTTTCACTTTTGTTAAAAATAAAATTTTCATTTACTTTTTTTTTTATTTATCGATTAATTTTAACGCGCGTTAAAACTTTTGATTTATTATGTTACTCTTATTTAATGGTTAGTTTACAATACCAATAAAAACTTTGAGACAATTATTCCCATTTTTAAACTCAATGAGCGGAAAGCGTTGAACTTCTTATTTGTTGATTTTCAGTCATCGGTTATGTGAAAAGAGATCCGTTAATTATATTGTATTATATGATATGTTTAATGAAAAATATGAAACTCTTATCTAAAACTGTTTACAAATATCAATAAAAACTTTTGAGATAACGAAATTCCCAATTTTAAACCAATTGAGCTTAAAGCGTCAAACTTGATTTGTTGATTTTCAGCCATCGGTAATGTAAAAAGAGATCCGTTAATTATATTGTTTTGATAAATTTACAAAAATTTATTTTATATATTTAATTAAAAATATACATAAATGATACAATTAATAAAATAAATAAAAAATTTTTTTTTTTTAAAAAAAAATTTTACCCCGATGTGAAAAATACCATGATTGTGTTATCATTAATCATCTTGAAACCTGCATTTCTTAGTCAGCTTACAATATAACCTTTTATTGAACAATACTAAGGTGAAGCGCTAAACAAAAAAAAAAAACTAATTCGAGAAAATATCACATATGAACAAGAGCATGATTGAATCTATCATTAATTTAATCAATTTCCGTAAACATTTATGCACTTAATTATTGAGATGATTGAACACAAATAAAAATCAAGTTTTCAAAGTAATAGATAAAGAATTTTCACAGTAAAATACATCATTGATGCATTACTTATTAAATTCAAATGACAAGAAAAAGAATCTACCCTTTAATGTTGCGTATTTATCCATATATGTTATTTCATTCATAAGCTTTCCAAAACAAACCAGTTGTACACTACTTTCTTATGCTAGACTACTTCATATCATATTAATAAGTCGCGACTTACATCACCATATACGGCGACTTCTAAACCACCAGAATTCAAGATACGAGTTACACAATGCTCATCATTTTGCATGTATCGTTATTAAACAGGATTTTCTATCGTACAACCGCCAACAAGCTTGTGATAATAACAAGTAAAGTGTAACCATAGCTGAAAAAAGAATGATCCAAACTTCTTTAACGTTAAATATTAATTTCTTAATGAGTGAATGTAAGTAATATTTTGTCTGATAAAACTGATAACAATTTTTTAAAAAAAAACCTTTACAGGAGAATAGCGGGCTTTCATTGTGATTGGCCAATTTCAGTGTTGGCAAATGACCTCAAATGACCTCAAATGACTTCACTTTTATTATAAACTTCAAGTCAAAATGATCAAGGTCATTTGAAAAAATAGTAAATGTCCTTGTAATTTGCAGATCATTTTTAGTATTGCTGAAATTCTATTGGCTGATAAAATCACATGATTTTTATCGAAAATTAATTAATCAAATTCATAAAAATAAATTTACTAAATTATATATTCATTAAAGCATTCTCAGCTTTCAAAAAGTTGATTTATAATAGTATCGTCAACAGATTCAGTATTATCCAATTCAATTTTACCTTTATTTGTCTCATCCATCTCATTTATAACTATTTTGTTAAATAAAGTCAGAATCTTCTGATAACTTTAACAATTCTTTTTAAATTCTGCTCATAAGATAATTAATGTAATATTAGCATTGACTTTCTAATTTAAATAAATAATACTTAAAATGATATGTATATTTACAAATTAAAATACAACTATCTTATATAAATCTATATAGCTTTTCAAAACATAACTTATTTTTTTAGAAAAAATATATTAAATTCTAAACTATTACCAATATTTTAACATTAACTTGATTTTGAATATATATCAAATAAAATATC